TTTTCTGATTGATTCGGCCGTTACTTGATGAAGATCCATAGTAATTTCATAAACTACACCTCACGATTTGAACTCCACAAACTTTATTTCAATGGTCAAACTGATCAAATTGGTCAAACTGGCAGAACATTTAGGAATCGAATACAGGAACATCATATGAGCTATGTAACTGAGAAAATAATTTCAACATATTCAAATCATCTTTTAGAAGAAAATCATATCTTCAACTGAGAATTTGAAATTTCACATATGGAAAATGAAGGTTTGAAACTGAATCATTTGGAAGCAATGGAAATTAATAAACTTAAAAATTCAAACATTCTAATGAATGATCAACTGGATTTGAATAAATCACCATTATTGAACTTTTTTTATTAGAAAAACCGAGAAAGAATTATTATTGATGTAGAAGTGAGGTAATATGCTTCAGGTGATCATAATTGACGAGGTATCTCAAGAAGAGGTTTAGGTAATTTGTCGGAGGCAGTCTCAAATATGATTACCTGTAGAATATAAATATTAGTGTAAGAAACTTGTAGTATTCAAATCACTGTTGATAAAGCTACTGTGTTTGCGAAACATGTCGTGATATATTTTTCAAATGAAATTTGTGGAGATCAAATCGTGAGGTGTAGTTTATAACATTTTTGTATCTAGTATTTTTCTGAATGAATCAGTTTCAAGTTGGCGAAGGCATGTCGTACGATGGAAGTGATGTGACCATCGAAATTGAGAGAATAAATAAATAATAAAATAATAAAGAATAAAACCATAAATTATAATAAAACCAAGATTTTTCGAGCTGTCGAACCAAGGATATTTACGTCAATATGGATGTCCAATGAGTTGTGTCATCGATTGAGTACTTCTTTTCTTCCGAACAACATCGCAACAGATATGAAAGGTTTGATGGAGGGACAGAATTTGAAATGAAATATTAATCTGGATACCATCTGCTCATAACTCAATACAATTTTGTAACTCGTGTGTATAGATGTTGAATAGCACAGTTTCCAGAATGGAGCCTTGTGGGACTACATCCCTCATTGAAAACATTTCCTTTCATCGAAACGGCCTACATGCGATTTTTCAAATGACCTGAAGTCATACGTCTGGATTTTTCAAGAAGCCAATATATTGTAGGATAGCAGGATATAAGTTAGACTGAATCTGGGAAAATATCATTTTCTCGAACACTCCAAATAATGTGCAGTGGATACTAATTGGACGAATAATTTTGAAATAATTTGGATTGGATGGTTTAGGTGGAAGAATGGTGATAATTCTTCCCAGATTTAGGAAACGACATAATTACTCATTCAAAAATTGAATACATAAAATATATCTAAATTCACATGCTGCGTTCATCGACCACCAAGCGACACACAATATA